ACCCAGACAACCGAAGCGATAAACGCATGAGACCCACTCGACCTTCTTTTGCTTCGTATGTGCACCGCCCCTTCGATCGTCTCCGTTCAATTTAGTTTCAAAGCCTATCTGGTTCTGAATTCTGATGATTAATTCTATATATTTGACAGGATCATAGGAGAAGTGGTTATGGTGAAGAACATGCACAACCTTTTCTCTGCCTTGGAGCCTTTGCTCAGAAGAGTCGTAAGTCATCAACCATTCATCTTCCATTCAAGAGCTTACTTATCAGAGTCGGATGATTTGGCATTCAAGTTAATTACAATTATTATTTTTGTTAATTAATTAGGTTACTGAAGAGGTTGAAAGAGCGATGAGGCATTGTTGCCCACGTTCGTTGACTCGGTCTCCTTCTCTGCGAATCGAAGCATTTGAACAGCCACAAGCATCAGGCTATCAACTAATGTTCAGCAACAGGCTTTCTCTTCCAATATTCACGGGAACCAGGATTCTGGACATTGATGGCCAAAATATCCAAGTGATGCTTGTTCAGAAGAACGGTGACCAAATGGTTCGGACCAGTCTTCCCCAACCTATTAAGCTGGAACTTGTGGTTCTCGACGGAGATTTCCCCGCAGCCGACAAGGAGGCATGGACCACCGAGGAGTTCGATAAGAACATACTGAAGGAGAGAACCGGGAAACGGCCTTTGCTCACCGGAGAATTGAACCTCACCATGAGGGACGGGATTGCACCCACCTGTGATATTGAGTTCACCGATAATTCTAGCTGGATCAGAAGCCGCAAGTTCCGGGTCGCCGTCAGAGTTGCTCCGGGGAGTAACCCCGGTGTTCGGATTCGTGAAGGCATGACGGAGGCCTTTGTTGTGAAGGATCATCGTGGAGAACGTAAGTATTATTTTTTCTTACTTCAATCAAATTGATAATTAACTACGTGCGATTTTTCTTAACACAGTTTTGATTTGCTATCTGCAAGCCAAAGCCATAACTTAGCGGGTTTCCAATTTAAGCATCTTGGTCTTGCATATATATTTACGTTGTCATATATTTCGTGCTCAAGCCTGATTAAGCTTTGACCTGTTAGCATCGTTAACAAGAATATTTTTATATCAGTCATTTGGTTCACAAGTGTCATTTGTTTATAATTTAATTTAGGTTGTTGATAATCATATATAGGGGAAGAAATACATAGGCCAGTTCTTGAATCAACCTCTTGTTTTATATATACTATTATACATAGAGCTGGTCAAGAGGAAATTTCATTAGATATTTCACACACACCCACAAAATTTTCTGACTGACCCACATATCACTCGAGTTGCACGCGTGAGAAAAGCAGACAATGATAAAGAGAATGAAAGGACGTGGAACTTTACTGGAATTTGGCATGATTTGAACATAATCTCTGTATAGGTCAGGCTATAGATACACAGACATATATTCGACTTTAACAAGAACAATATTCTAATAAAATACTATTTATACTATCTTACAAAAACAAAATACCTAGTTTGGCATAGTTTTGGGAGAAGCTCGATTTATATATATATATATATATATATAGATAATATTTCATATTCTTATACAATAATAAATAAATTCTTACAAAAAAATATATTGAGGGACAGGGTTTAAATTCAAAGATTCAAATTATATATATTTATTTGTAAAATAATCTCCCTCGCTCTCTCTCTCTCTCTCTATATATATATATATTTATATCCACTACGTCGTAGAGAGGGAGAGAGCACTGGATAAGTCCAGATTGTATATTATACTGGACATCCCTACCTTTCATCCTTTCCAGCAAGGTAGATGGTTGTCTGCATTTTGGCTTTTCTTTCTTTATATTTTTCCTCTTAATATATTCCGAATTATCCTTTAAAGAAAAAACTAGATGGCTAGGAAACAAGAAAGCGACTGTTAATCTGCTGGTCAAAAAGAAAAACACAGCTCATTAAGCTTATTAATTAGGAGCTTACTGCCGGCGACACTGCATATGCTCATGGTCCCACCAGAGCAACCTTTTTTTCACACACACACACACACACGCATATGTATTTACAGTTACGGAAAACCATGAACTTTATATTCAGCGATAGATTGATTAATGATACAATGATGAAATTAACGTAAGTTGAATATGAATGTGAAGTGTACAAGAAACATCACCCACCAATGTTGAACGATGAAGTGTGGCGTCTGGAGAAGATCGGTAAAGACGGAGCTTTTCACAAGAAGTTGTCGTCGGAGAGTGTTAACACCGTCCAGGACTTCCTCAAGCTCTTCATCGTCGATCCTCACAAACTCAGAAAGGTAAGAATAATTCCCAATTAATCATCTTGATTTATTATATAAATAAATAAATATTTGTAGGGGCATCATGGGAATTTACTTATTTCTCATTCCTGTGGAATAATTGCAGATTCTAGGGATAGGGATGTCCGAGAAGATGTGGGAAGTGACTGTGAAGCACGCCAAGACATGTGTAATGGGGACCAAAGTCTACATGTACCGTGGGTCCCACTTCGCCCTCTATCTGAATCCCATCTGCCAGCTCATTAAAGCTGAAATGAACGGCCACACTTTCTACGGCAAGGACATCAGCACCAACATTAACAGGGTATGCTCCATATCCATCCACCCACCCGTCCTAATTAATTTCTGGTGGAGCCCCGGGGGGACCAAAAAGAAAAAAAAAATCCATTATTTTTTGAATTTTTTTTTCTGGATCATTCGATCTATTAATTACTCATGAGAATAATGTCACGAATTTGCAGACCTACATAGAGAAATTGGTGAAGGAGGCATATGCGAGGTGGAATTGCTTGGAAGAAATTGACCAACTTATGGGGACTAACATGGCTCTACTAACCCAAGGTTGGTTATTAAGTTGGTTTTAATTATTAATTGCTGATTTCTCTAATGCATTGCAAAAAGGGAGTCTGACCAGCAATTTACTGCTATGTGAGTACAGGGGACAGCATGGAGCAAATGCCGAACAACAGCAACGGCAACAATGAAGCAATATCATTTGGTAATGAGATGGATTTCTTGGGAGATAGCTACGCAACAAACAATGTGGAAATTGGAGGAAGTGGTGAGTGGGGACTGAATAATCCAGTATTCTCAGCAGCATCGTACGTAAATGCCATGACTTATAACTTCTCCGAGACACAATCAGATGGGAATATAACGCCCTCTGCTTCTCTCATGGACGGTTCTGCAACTTCCAGATGGCCTTGACCATTATTCTGTACATATATAGGACTCTATAACTTACAGCATCAGGTAAATTAGGTTTTAGTGCAGTGCCAAGTCTTTCAGCCCTACAAAATGTGTTTGCTAAGCATCACGGTGCTTAGATTGGGCTTTGTTATGTTAGTCTGTAGGGAGTAGTTGTTAGGTAGGTGGAGGCAGGCCCATTTTTAAGAAGGTGTTGTGGATGATGGGCAGGGCCTCTCCTTCCCAATGGTCAACCTTGCCCTTAATGGGTCAGTGTTGCTGTGTTTATTCAATGTTTCCCAAGTCACAGACTTCTGCAACGTGATGTTTCATTTCTTCTTGTATTCGTTTTGGGCGTGGTTTCCCGTGATATTGATCTCCGTTCAGTTCGAGTTTCGACTTTATACTGCTATTACCAAAATCTAACCAAGTAACCGTGGATTGTTTAGTACAAAAATTGATGTCAAGTTCACAAAAAGGTAAGTTAGATGAAGAGGTCCCCCCAAAAAGGGATTCGGTTCGTCTAAAAGTTGTTAAAATAGAGCTTCTTTAATGTGTCGAGAGTTAAATCTAAATCCTCAGCTTCATAGACGTAATAGAAAAGCTTTGCATTGACATGTTATTTAATATGAAACCAAACATGCTTACAATCCTAAAACTGATCGTAGTAGAAATCGATAACCAAGGTATTATACTGGAAAAAAAATGCAATTCTCAGCTCTCACACAACTTCATGCAACGTTACAAATGGAGCCTCTCCAAAACAGTGATCGTAAATTAAATGGACATGATTTTCAACGGTTATATGGTTCAATTCACATAGGAATCTGAGTCATAAAGCTCAGTACATAAAGAAGTTGCCCAGCAAAGGAAATGGTGAATGACAGAAGGACGAACAAGCAAAAGAGAAGCAGAGGAGGTCGACTCAGATGGCAGATATCTTAATCATTTCACACCTCTCAACCTAAGATGAGTACATCATCATTTGTTCTACCATTTCTGGAACGTATGGACATCAAGACTTGAGATAAATGAAGAAATTTTGAGGATTTTGCCTCCATTACAATATCATTCCGCAAAGTTCCTTGTCCCTCAGCCAGGGGGACTTAATTTGGCCACAAGTCTATCTTGTCTCTTCAATAGCATGAATTATCATAAGCATTTCACAAGACTCATATTTGCCATCTTCTTGCCAACAACAAGAGAAACGTTTCCTCATGCCGACACTCGCAAGCTTTCTTCTTCCTCTGTTTTCCTTCTTCATCCATACTGCCTCTGCTAGCAATTCCACTTCATCCTTCACAGTCTGTCCCGCCTACAGCTTTGCCCATCGGATCCAAGCCGGATACCCTTTTTGGCTATCACATGGTTCCATTCCTGACCAGTATTGTGGTTACCAAGAATTCGGCCACATCTGCGATGATGGCTATCCCGTCTACTCTTCACTTATCGTTTCACGAACATAGACTGTGATAATCATTCCCTTCACCTCATTGATTTTGATACCTTCTACCAAGCATGTCTGGGGGCAGTTCACAAAGTTCTGTTGGGCAACTTACTCCATCCTCACTTCCGTTTGTATTTGAAACTTAGGTCTTGTTACAATTCCAGTTCTCACCTCTCTTATGCGTCGCCCATAACGGGCTTTTCATCTGTGGTAGGGACCGAGAGTGGGGGTTTTGATGGTCTAGGAATTCTAAAGAGAGCGTTACGGAGATAAATTTGAAGGGCCATGTTACAAGTGAAGGATTGACGAATGAGCATAAAGAAGAGGCCATGAATGAATGTTTTGTGCTTAACCGGCAAAGCGTTTATGATGAGTGCGAGGATTCTGAAGGGTTGCGTGGCTACAATAATGCTGAAAATGAGCTCATGTGTTTCTGCAAGGATGGCAGCGGACAAAGCAATGGCTGCTCAGGTATGTTAGCAATAAGCGGGATCATATATTCATTGAAAAGGTGCGGCCGCAATCTCTTGCAACAGAACATGTGGCTCTTTCGTTCTTGATGGCAATCTGAAGCATACTACCTAGTTGGTGGAATGCATACATTGCGAGAAACCTGTACATAAAAAAATGGACTGCAATGGTTTGACCCTATATATTTATTAATTAGATGTATGGAAAGATATTAATAAAACATGCTTCATTACTCTTTACATTATCCCTCCATTTGTCAGTAACTACGTGTTGACTTTTTAGGTCTCTAATCCTTGTAATTCACACGATTTCACTCATTCGTGTTTTGTTAATGAAATATATGCTTTTCTTTGTTTATGACAGGGAGATGCATGTGAATATCGTCAACATCATTGGTTTTTGTCTTGAAGGCAGCAAAAAAGCAGTCGCGTATGAACTTATGCCCAATGGTTCACTTGAAAAGTTCATATGCAAGAGGGATTTAGAGGCAAGTGATCCATCCTTAAGTTAGGAAAGATTACTCCAAATTGCCAAAAAGATAGCTGACTTGAGTATTTGCATAGTGGTTGCAACACTCGGTTCTGCATTTTTATTTTGACATAGAACCTAACAATATCCTTTTGGATAAAAACTTTTGCCCAAAGATCTCAGATTTTGAGCTAGCTAAATTTTGTTCTAGAACACATAGTACCATCTCAATGCTTGGTGCAAGGGGTACTGCTGAGTATATGGCTCTAGAAATATGGAATAGGAACTTTGGAGGAGTCTCCCACAAGTAAGACATGTATAGCTATGGAATGTTGACTTTAAAAATGGTTGGAAGAAGACAAGATATAAATGGAGAAGCGAGTGATTCAAGTGATCGATATTTTCCTCATTTGGTATACAAGCAAATTGCATCAGACAAGAATATTGCAGAACATGATTATATGACTCGAGAGGAAAGTGAAAAAGAAGATGATGGTGGTGGGATTATGGTGCGTACAGGCAATGCCATCAGATAGAACTTCCATGAATAGAGTGATTGCTCTCAATTCCACCAAAGCCTTCCATATTTTCTCCTGTAGCAGCAAGAAATGAAGGGAAAAATTGTGCTTCATATTATTCTGTTTATGTTTGATTAGTTGCTCTGTAGATGGTTGCAGATAGTTGTATTATAGACATCTTAGCTTGCTAATCTCTGTATATATAGTGATGAATAATGTGCCAGTCCTTTTTCCCAGTTTTGCGTCTCTGTACCACGTTAATGCAAATGTACAGCGACTAAGAATACTTCATGTCATCTGAATAAATGATGAAATAATTTAAAATCAAATTATTTGATTAAGTATCAACACTTCAACAGGTGTTTTTCTTTCTTGTTTTTTTTTGGTTGGCGTGGCTTCCTTTCATAATGATGTTCGTTCTGTTTGATTTTCAACTTTAAACTGCTATTAGTAAAATCCAGCCCAGTAATTGCGGATTGTTCAGGACACAAATCGATGCGAAATTCACTGAAACGTAGAGTGAAAAAAACATTAACACCCACAACTTGAATTTAATAAAAATAAAACTTTTACTGACAGAAATAATAATTGAGGTGTGAAAGGGTTTCGTTGAATTTCATATTATTTTTTAAATCGTAAATGTGACTTTTCGGTGGTGGTGTTTCTTTTAGTAAAACAAAATTGATTTTATAAAAACATTTTTGGATGAAAAAGGGTAGCGTTATCTTTTGCCCGTGAGATTGACCGAAAAGAATTGGGGGGGAAAAAAACCCTTTCAACGATCATTGATATTGAAAGTAGCTTGATCAAGAAGTTTGAACAACAAAAATAAATTAATAGGTGAGTGTACTATAGGGGTCCTTGCATGGCAGGTTGTTTAAATAGAAACCAAACTATAATTTTAAAAGTATTTTTTACAATTTACGAAATATATATATTGAGGAGTTTGTCTCATTTTGTAAAAATAATGCTTTTTAGAAACACTTTTAAGGGTTGCCAAATACTCTTAATTGTAACACGTTGATGGTTTTGCTTGAAAAGTTGCTGCCATTACTAAAACTACATCAATGCTATGGCTTTGGATAATTATCTTATAGGAGCGAAATTTTAAAAATACCTTAATTTACTAGGCCCGACTCTTAAGGAGACAGGCTCAAGGCTAGCTTGTGGGTTTTTGGCCGTTTAAAAAAAATCTATTTTTTTATATTTTTCACATGTTTTATGAAAAAATAAAAATAAACCAATAAAATTACTAGTAAAAGATATTAATATGAATAAAATTAAGTCACAAATACAAAAGATCATTATACATAAATGTCCATCAACATACAAAAAATTTAAAACATCCATTAGACATAACAAGTCAATAACATTAAGTATTAACATCTAAAAGTTTCATTGAAAGTAGATAAATATTTTCACTAAAAAAAGTGGATAAATACTATCATTGCTGTCTTCAATCGTAAGAATATTTGATTGTGCTTTACTAGTAATAGAGTCTTTTTAACTTCTAAAAATATCAATGATTTCTTCTCAATATTATTTAGCTATTTTGGAGTCTAATATGTCTTCTTCCGTCTTTTTGAATTGAATTTTTTGCTCACCAGTAAGTTTATTTAAAAATATCAATGTTAAGTTTGTTTTAGAGGTTTCAACTTAGCAACTACTGGAAATTGATTCTGTGTTTGTAATCTACAAACAAGGTCTTATAATTAAGACTGAAGGTAGTACTTTTTTTCTTAGACTTTAAATGTGAAAATTACTTTGCTGCGCAGTCTCGTAAGAAGTATAAAATATCTTAGCACTTTGGATTGATCCATAGTATGCTTTTAATGAACTAACTATATCATCTTTTTTTGGCTTTTGCTTAGGATGGTCTTTTTTTGTTTTATCTAACTCACTTGTCTAACTTTATTTAAATATAGAGTAAAAATTTTGATATAGTCACTATAGAAAAAGTGTTAACTTATTTATTAAAATTTTATAACACATACAAATTGAAGCGAATATGTTGGTTTAATCATTAAAATTTTGTTTTGATACGGGGAATATATTTTGTTATTTTAATATATAACTGTTGGTCCAAATAAACACAAATTTGAAATATGATTTAGGATATGGAGAATATATTTTTATTTATTTTAATATCATTAAAGACTGAGGTGTGAGCTGAGAGTGAGTGAAAGACTGAAAGTAAAACTTAGAGAAAGAAAATGTGTAAAACATTAGGGACTTAGGTTAGGGTTAAGAAAAAAATGTAAACTAAGAAAAAAAAATTATTGTTGGCGGGTTTAAACGGGTTGACTCGTTTATTTTTCAGCTCTATAAGATTGGCCGTTTTAAGTCAAAGTTCCCTTTGAAAACTCTAAATTACAAACCTGGCCTTCAACTTAAATGAATTTAAAGGGACCAGTCCAACGGGTTCGACTCATTTTTCCGGTTCTAGATCCAACCTTATAAAAGCCACACTCTTGTTGCAGACCACAAGATGAGCCTGTAATATCTAATGGCGCCTCTCTAATGTGTCCGCATTAAATTTGACTCCTCATGAGACACACGCCTTGTAAAACTATTCAATATGAAACCAGACATATCTTAAAAGGAAAATTATAATTACGTCCTAAAAAAATACTCCTCCGGTCCTTAATATAAGACCCATTTAACTAGTTTGATTAGATTAAGAAAGTTAGGTAAGTTAGTTAATTATAAGAAAGGTAACACATTTTTCCTAAAACACCATAATCATCTTTCTTAATACCCCCTCTCCCTCTTCTATTTGATTATGATTGAGGGAGTATCTATAGGGGTAATTTAGAGAAAATTGATAAATATAAAAAATGGGTCTTATATTTAGGACCAAAACCAACTCAAGAATTGGGTCCTATATTAAGGACCGGAGGAGTATTTAATTATTCTAAAGTCTATTGATATTTGAGAAGTGTAACAAGTTTTAGTATAAAAAATGATAACTTGTTTATGCTTTTCATTTGTACTTTTTAGTAATTAAATTCTTTCAGGAGCTTCCTAATTAAAATCCTAAATCTACTCGTAGAACAAGTCAATTACGAAGTTATACTCCAAAACAAGTCAATTTTGGCACATCGTTATCTTCCCCATCGTACAACGGTTTGACCCTTCATAGTTGTACTTTGGCACAAAGTGTTCACATTTCAAATTCCAACTTATTATTTACTTTCTGAAAAAAACCTTGCCGAAAGGGTTCTTCAAAGAAACTAGACTTAAACTATATAGGATAGTAGCCTAATTTGGGTCGATTCACAAAGGAGCTTAAATGATGTTAAAGTCCCTTAGCTAAACCACTAATTAACAAATTAACAAATTAAAGATGCAGACAATTGAACAATGGATCATTCATTTCAGGTCTCATAAATGCAGAATATAAATCTTTGTAAATTTCGGATTTATCTCAGCAAGATGGTGAGAGGTTAAAATGTGATAAAATATCAAATGTGAAAGAGTGTTCTCCTGGAGATGTGCTTTGCCTTCCTAGTCTGATTAAGATATTGGAGTGAGACCGAATTGAAAAGATTGAACTAACAACTCGTTAATTCCCTTGCCAATTAGATTCCGCAACTGCGGTAATCTAAGGATAGGTATAGACTCATTCGGTTAAGAATCAGAAGCACAACAAATCAAACTTCTCCATGACAATCATAACTATACACTGTTTTGAACATTAATCAAATCGATTATAAGGTCTGAAACAACTTGAATAGAAACTATAATCTGATTTTACTCAATAACAGAGAAGGCACTTTCAACTCGAATGTGCGATAGATTCATTGCTCTACTAATTCTCGAACAGATTCAAAAGTTCTAGTGAAATATAATTCGTAATCAATCATGAAATAATAATATCAAATGAGCAACTCGTCTAATCCACATTATAATCTCAGACCAAAACTGAAGAAACGAGAAACTCCCTGTTAAAACTAAGACTCAGGCATCGGTTCCATCTCCAGGCAGAACACAGACGCTTAGCTGCTCATGCTTTGGTTTTGTTCCGCATCGTTGAAGATTGCGATAGCCATGGCAGAAATGGTATGGGTCGGATAGGAGAGAATGTGAGAGGAATAGTGACGGTGGGATCCAGATGAAGCTCTCGAGAATGAGTGAGGTCTCCTCTGCATCTGAGATATTCAATCTGGAGTAAAGATGATGATGAGCTATCCTTCTCAAATCTCCCCTGCATCTGATCCGTTAAAACTACTTTTCCCTCCAACGGTCCATAACAGAATCCTCCGCTGTCTCTCCCTTGAAATGCTGCGCTTCACCAATCAGCAATTCCTCTCCTCTGGGTTGGGCTCGAGCTTCTTTCACTGTTCCTGGCCCAAAATCGTCTAGCCAATTTTGCAGATCCAAAATGTGCTCTCTTTCCTATTTTGCACTTGTAATTAATTCAAATGTAACACAGAAAATAATTCCCAAACTGAAAATTCATTCAAAATACTAATAAAGTATCATGTTAGACCAGATTCTCGGACCATGTGCATTTAACATATTATTTAAACAATAGTGCAATTATTATCTAATCAATTTCCTAAAATAGCCCAAAATGCACATTTTAAACATATTGAAAATATGGTCTATCACTTTCCAACATCTTCTGGGTTATATTATTTCTCATTATTAATATAAGAGTTACTCCTATAGTCTTATTTATAGAAGAAAGAAAGAAGATATTTTTTCGTCTTATTTATGGGGTACTGAGAGAAATTTTTTGTATGGATGTATAATTTTAGCCCTTATTTATTATTGTGTTGACTTTGTTTACAAAATGTATAATGTAAATTAAATAGAGATAAAGTTGAAAAGTTATTAAATTTTAAATAAGAGTTAATGAAGTTTAATATTTATTTGGTCTGTGTGAAACATATTGAAAATGCCTTATAAATAGGACCAAAGAAGTATTCTTCTAGTTAAATTTACAAGGTAGAGAGAAGACATTTTTTTTGTTCCTATTTATAGGACACTCAGAGAATTTTTTTTAATGGATGCATAATTTAATTCTTTATTTATTATTGTGTTAACTTTGTTTATATGAGGTATAATTTATATTAAATAGGGATAAAATTGAAAAGTTGTTAAATTTTAAATAAGAGCTAATAAAGTTTAAGGTTTTTCTTGATTTGTGTAAAACATGTTGAAAGTGACTTATAAATAAAACTAAAGGAGTAGTTTGACATTCAATTTAGTCCTAAATATAAGATCCAAATTCACTTTATTTTTTATATTTATTTTTTTCCCCAAAACAGTAATTGTAGTAGTTGTATATGTCAAAGTAGTTTTTACTAGTATATATGATTAGCAATGGTATTTTGGAGAAGATAGTATATATTTATTACAAATAATTAACTTAACTAATTTTTTTAATATATTCGAATTAGTTAAATTCTCTTATATCAACCACGGGAAGTAATATATGATCTATTGTGGAAAAATTTTCAAGTTTTACACTTGCAAATATGCCCAGAATATTTGAGAATATATATGACCCCTAACAAACTACGCATTCTTGATGAGCCCCAGTTTTCGTGTCAATATCGTTTGGGTTCGCATAATTCCAATAAACAAATACATAGAGCATTTTAAAAAAAAAAAATTCAGATGCACAATGCTGCTGACAAAGCGAGTGAACGGAAAAGCATGCACGTCAACCTGGTGCGGTAGTTACTTTCACAAGTACTTCAACTTCCACTCGATTGAAAAATCGGAATTCAGAGCATCTTCCCATCATCTATTACACGCCAATATATTTGATCTCAACCTAATATCAGTATATCGTCACTTGTTCAGCCATTTCTGTAGCGTGTGAACATCAAGACTAGAAATAAACGAAGAAATTTGAAGGCTTTTTCCTCCTTTTCGAGATCATAAAGTCCAGTGTCCCTCCACCAGGAAACACATTTTCTTCAATATCGCATAAAATATCAAAACCATTTCACAAGACTCGAATTCGCCATCTTTTTGCCAAACTCAGAATCATCCTGATATCATTCCAACAAGAGGAACATTTCCTGATGCTGAAGCTCATCCCGTGCTTTTTTCTTCCTCTGTTTTCCTTCTTCATCCATAATGCCTCTGCCAGTAATTCCATTTCGTCTTCCACAGTCTGTCCCCCCTCCAGCTGTGCCGACGGTTTGCAAATCAGATACCCTTTCTGGCTATCAGATTCACATGGTTCCCCTCCTAACCACTACTGTGGTTATGAGGAATTTGGGCTCATCTGCTCTCATCAAGGTGGCTACCCCATCTGGTCTCCACCACCTGGGTTACGTTATCGTGTCGCGCACGTAGACTATGATAATCATACCATTCACCTTATTGACGTTGACACTTTCAACCGAACATGTCCAAGGGCACTTCACAAGGTTCCCCTGGGAAATTTGCCCCTTTCTCATTCCCCTTTGAATTTGAACCTTAGCTTTCACTACAATTGCAATTCTCACCCATCTAATGCGTCGCCCATAAGGTGTTTGACGTCTGGTGTGAAGCAGTCCTTTGTGTTTGTGATGGGGAACGAGAGTAATGAGGGTTTTGATTGGTCCAAGACTTGTGAAGAGAGTGTTGTGGTGCCAGTGATGAAGGATCGGGTTACAAGTAAAGGGTTGATGAATGAGTATAAAGAGGCTATGAACGAAGGGTTTCTTCTTAATTGGCAGACTGCCCAGAGTTGTGAAGAGTGTGAAGCTTCTGACGGGATTTGTGGCTACATTGATACCAGAAAAGAGTCGTTGTGCTTCTGCAAGGATGGCAACGTGCAAAGCAATAGCTGCTCAGGTATATTAGACCGCTGGATCATTTACTGATAGAATTGTTGCCGTTGCAATTTATTGCAACAGAGCCTGTTGCTCTTTCTTTCTTGATTCCAATTTGAAATATCTAACAACTAGTTGGTGGCATACATACATCGCAAGAAACCTATATAACAAATTGCAATTATAAATACTTTGACTATATATATATATTTTATTAGATGTATAGATAGATATTAATAATAACATGCTTTATTACTCTTTACATTATGCCTACATTAGTCAGTAAGTACATGTTGAATTTAGATCTCTAATCCTTCTGAATGATAAGATTTCGTTGATTCGTGTTTCGCTAATAAAATATATGCTTTGTTTGGTGACAGGAAGATGCAGAGTCCATTTGTCAAAGCTAATTATTGGTAAGATATCTCTCCACACACACACACACACGTCCTTTCCTGCCATTTCTTTTTTCTTATGACAGTAAAAGAAGGGTCTTGTAATGAGATATATGTATGTACGTACGTATTTAAAAAAACATGCTAAGGATCAGGAAATGCTTGTATATAGCTAGCCACTGAAAGCAGAATATAGCGGCCATTTGAGAATGAGGCTTGTTAAGTAGAAATTTAAATATTGCTCCTCAACATCTTTTTGTCCATAAAGATTAATGGAAGTTTAAACAACATAAACTATCATTGTACAATTTGATCTGAAGTGCAAGCCTAATGTACGGAGTACAGCAATACTTCATTAGAACATGTCCTTTCCTATTTATAGCGTGTGAAGTCCTAATGCTCCGGTCTCTTTCATAATGGGCTTCAGGATATGTTCTCCATCACCTGAATTCTCTTTTATTTCTGCCGATAGGTTTAATAGCTGCAGGAGTGGGAGCTCTGCTGATATGCATCATTTTCTTCTTCTCAAGACGAAAAATATCAGTAATGATCGCAGTATATTTTCAGAAGATGAAAAAGAACGATGAAGCCATTGAGTCCTTCATCAGAAATAATGGGCCTCTAACTATAACAAGGTACACATTTTCAGAAATCAAGAAAATGACCAACTCTTTTGAAGTCAAATTGGGAGAAGGAGGTTATGGCACTGTATTCAAAGGAAGCACACTACACAGCTGTCCTGTGGCTGTGAAGGTGTTGAATGCATCCAAAGGGAACGGTGAAGAGTTTATCAATGAGGTTGTGAGCATTAGTAGGACTTCACATGTAAATATTGTCACCCTCCTTGGTTTTTGTGTTGAAGGCAGCAAAAAAGCACTTGTATACGAACTTCTGCCCAATGGTTCACTTGAGAAGTTCATATGCAAGAGGGATTTAGAGCCAAATGATCCACCCTTGAGCTGGGAAAAATTACTTCAAATTGCAGAAGGGATAGCCAAAGGACTCGAGTATTTGCATAGGGGTTGCAACACTCGAATCTTGCATTTTGATATAAAACCTAACAATATCCTTTTGGATAAAAACTTGTGTCCAAAGATCTCAGATTTTGGGCTGGCTAAACTCTGTTCTAAAACACGTAGTATTGTCTCAATGCTTGATGCAAGAGGAACTGCCGGGTATATTGCACCAGAAGTATGGAATAGAAACTTTGGAGGAGTCTCTCATAAGTCAGATGTGTATAGTTATGGAATGTTGATTTTGGAAATGGTTGGAGGAAGACAAAATATCAACAGAGACATAAATGATTCAAGTGATGCATGTTTTCCTTATTTGGTATACAAGCAAATTGAGATGGACAAGAATATAACAGAACATGATGGCATGACCAGAGAGGAAAGTGAAATTGCAAAGAAGATGGTCATGGTGGGATTATGGTGCGTCCAGACAATGCCATCAGAAAGGCCTCCCATGAATAGAGTGATTGAGATGTTGGAAGGGAGCTTGGATCAGCTCTCAACGCCACCAAAGCCTTTCATGTTTGCCCCTATAATTCCAGCAACCGGAGAGGGAAATTGCGCTACAAATGGTGTTCTTTCCTTTTCGGTGGATTATCAATGGGGTAGATAGAATTCCCCTTTCGCAAAGTTAAATCCTTGTATACTTGTAAATGCATCATCGATACGAAATCAGTAGCTTCTTTTTTCTACCTTATGCGAATTTTTCAGTTTGAATTTCGAGAACTAAGTGCCGCCATCAAGTGAAAAGTATATGTAGCACATGTCATTACTAAGATGTTATATACTAGCTTCTTCCATGGATAATTTGTCAAATTTATTCAAAATACGAAAGGGTTGAAAATATTATAGATAAGCACCAAAATGATAATAAAAAAAATTGGGTCTAGTAGAAAAAAATTAATTCATCATAATATGATAAATTAAAGTTTGAATCCTTATTGGAGTGCCTGATAATGCCTCAAAATTATTTACAAAATTTATACAGTTATTTTGTCGGACCAAAGTCTTCCTCTAGGAAAAAAAAATAAATGTCATGAATAAAATGGTCGTGGAGCAAATAATTTACATAATTTAATAATCATTCCTATGGGAAAAAATAGTACTAAGATGGCTGAAATTTAATACTCTTCTTGTCCTTAATATATGAGCTAATTAGGAAGTTAATGTTGATCCTTTATATAAGACTTATTTCACATGTTTATTGATTTTTTTTTCAAATTAACTTTATTAATATTTTCCTAACAATAATTAAGTAAGAGAAAGAGAGAGGGAATTAAGTAAGATACTTATGGTGTTCTAAAAAAACATATCATATTAACTAATTTAACTAATATCTTTAATTTACTTAAATTAGTTAATTAGGTTGTATATTAAGAACAGGAGGAATAGTATTTAAATTTCATATATATATATATGTGACTATTAAATTACCTTTATCTTTGTATTAAATTTCATGATTACTCAGTGCTAAAAAAAAAAAAAAATTTCATGATTACTAGTTTTTTCTTTTTAAAGAGGTAAAGAATGCCAAAAGCCAAAATTAACACGAAATTTTCCTATGTGTGATAAAAAAATTTCTTTATCTAATTACTAAATTTCTTTTCTTCGGCTTCTAAATCAATTGTTTTTAAAAATGTGATAAAAATGGTTGAACACCTGAAATTGATGGCTAAATTTGAATCTTCTGCAATTCTTTTTTTCTTTGTTTGACTTTTAAATATATTTTTAAAAAAACTTGTACACCATTTCATCCCTTTTGGAAAAAAGTCGTCAGCGACGACAGCTCCACCACCAGGGAAGTTCGCCGGCTGTGCCATTGCCAACTACGAAAGTAAAGGGAGGAGGAAGGAATTACACACACACGCACACACGATTGTTTTGTGGGCATTTTGGTCAAGACACTTTTTTTCTAGGGAAAATGACGCACAGGTCCCAAGAAGCAGACTTTATTCATCTAAGATCCTACAAAATGTTAAAATTACTAGCAGGTCTCAGGAATCTTAGAGTATTATATGCTAATTGTAAAATGTAAAATGACATGACTACTTTTTAGATTTCTAATTTACGTTTGCTTTGTCATTGCGATTGACAGTCTTAGTAGTGACTATTAACAACCCGATAAAAAGCTGTTGATAATCTCAGCAGTATCCATTGACAACTTACTTTATAAGATTATGTAACCTCCACATAAGAATAAATTATAATCAAATAGTATAATACAACAATTTTAACACTAAAATGACAAGTTTTTCAAAGGCGTTAAGAAATTGGTGAAGGAGGCAAATGTGAAGTGGAATTGCCTCGAAGAAATTGACCAACTTATGGGGACTAACATGGCTCTCCTAACCCAAGGTTGGTTGTTAACTTGGTTTTAATTATTAATTGCTGATTTCTCTAATGAATTGCAAAAGGGAGTCTGACCAGCAATTTGCTAATTTGTGAGTACAGGGGAGAACATGGAGCAAATGCCAAACAATAGTGGTAGCAACGATGAAGCAATATCGTTTGGTAATGAGATGGATTTCCTGGGAGATAGCTATGCAACAAACAACATGGAAATTGGAGAAAGCGGTGAATGGGGACTAAATAATCCAATATTCTCAGCAACATCGTACGTAAATGCCATGTCTTATTTATAACTTCTCCGACACACAATCAGATGGGAATATAACGCCCTCTGCTTCTCTCATGGACGGTTTTGCAACTCCCAGATGGCCTTGACTATTATTCTGTACATATATAGGACTCTATAACTTACAGCATCAGCTAAATTAGGTTTTAGTGCAGCGCCAAGTGTTTCAGCCCTCCAAAATGTGTTTCCTAAGCATCACGGTGCTTACATTGGGCTTCGTTATGTTTTTGTTTTTGGTACAAGAGAGGGCCTAGCCCAAAACGAAAAACACTAAATTAAGTGGGATTAGATCCCAAGCACTCCTTGTTCACCAGGTTCCTCAGATCCAACGGACAAGTATCAAAATAGGAGGAGGTGGATATCCCCTTTTTAGCCAACGCATCAGCAACCTTATTTGCATCTCTATCAACGTACCGGAGTCTAATTTCCCAATTAAATTCAAGCATCTCCTGTATCTGAACTATCATCAGACTGTAGCTTCGACTCACTTTCATATGTGCCAAATAGTCTATTAGATTTTTTGCATCAGATTCAAGCACCACCTGCTTAAACCCGAAATCCCAGGCTAATTTCAGGCCCTTGAAAATACCCCAAGTTTCAGCCTCCATAACACTACAAGAACCAATCTGGAAGGAAAATCCTACTATCCAATTTCCATGATTATCTCTTATCACTCCACCGCAACCAGCATTTCTGGAAATTTTGGAGACTGCCCCATCCACGTTCAGTTTAACCCAACCTTCAGGAGGAAGGCACCAATTATTTGCACGGACTTCAGTCTGGCCTTCCTTTTCCCGTCTCATTGGTTCATTGAAAGGAACAAAGTTCTGCCAACTATAATTAATTACAGTAACAGGGTCAGGGGGTTTAACAAAATTTTCATCAAATAAAGCAGCATTCCTCCAGAGCCAAAGCTTCCAAACAGCTACTCCCCATAACAAACTCCAGTCATCATAAACTCTAGCGCCTATATTGTTCTGTAAATTAAGAGCAATCCACTCTTTTAAAGGAGCTGTGAAAAATCTGACCAAATTCCTTTGATCTACAAAAGAGTACCATGCTGATTTAGCATAGTCACAATCCCTAAGCACATGTAGAATAGATTCCACCTCATTAAGACAAAACGAGCACATGGGTGAACATTGTGACCACTTGCTCCTCCAGAGATTTGTAGGTAGCCTTTCATGAAAGATTCTCCATAAAAAGACCCGAATCCTTTCAACTCCTCTCCATTTCCAAATAGTCTTATAAATAGGACTATATAAGGAGCAAGGATTTTCTTCAAGAATAAAGTAGGCACTCTTGACACTGAAAGAGCCAAAAATATAGTCTTTCCAAATCAATAAATTCTCCCCAGCCGAATCAAACGGAGGTATGGTGCTAGTGAGACGAGATATCACCTGCGGTTGGATCACAGTGGCCAATCTATGTAAGTCCCACATACCATTAGTAACCCAATCCGCCACCACACTACCACGTTCCTCCTCAGATAAATTCTTGATACAAAGATCTTCAATTTTCCTCTTTGGTAATAACCACAAATCAGTAAAAAACCTAATGGTCCTTCCATTTCTAAGCTGCCACTTAGAGCCTTTCTCGATTATCTCTTTCTATTTACATATAAATTTCCAGATGCTAGAATCTCCTGGAAGAGTTGTCAGAAGGTTCTCTTCATTATGTAACATATACTTTTGGTTTAAAACATCAGTCCAAAGACCTTTTTCACCTAAAATCAATCTCCAGGCCAATTTTGCCCCGAAGGCTGCATTAACAGAAGATAGTTTTTTAAAACCAAGTCCTCCGTACTCCTTGGGTTTGGTTACATACTGCCATCCTATTGGATGATAGCCTTGCTTCTCTTTATTATGACCCCATATGAAATTCATTTGCAGTCTTTCTACTTCATCACATATCTTCTTAGGTATTTGGGAGACCTGCATAGGATATAGTGGAATGGAGCTCAACACAGATTTGGCCAGAGTAATTCGACCTGCAGTAGAGAGACATTCAGCTTTCCAGCTTGCCAATTTAGATCTTACTCGATCAACAATAAATTGAAACTTTTCTATGGATTTTCTATTCCTTGATAAAGGGAAGCCAAGGTACCTCCCTATTTCTGGAGAAACTTTCATTTGGGTTAGATCTTTAATTTTCCTGATCATATTCGATCCAACTCTAGGAGAGAAATAAAGAGAGGACTTGCTCCTATTAACTCTCTCCCTTGAAATTTTAGAAAAAAGATCAAGAACATCCATCATACAAGACACCTACTCTTCAGTAGCCACTCCAAATAAAAGCAAATCATCAGCAAACATAAGATGAGAGATAGCAGGCCCATTTCTAGAAACTGCAATAGGCTTCCATTTTCCCCCATTTACAGCATCACTAATAAGATGAGACAATCTGTCCATACATAAAACAAACAAAAGAGGAGAGATGGGGTTACCTTGTCTTAAACCTCTTTGAGGAGCAAAATACTCAGTCATTGAACCATTCCACAAAACATTGTATGTGACCGAGGTGACACAAGACATAACTAGATTCACAAACTTATCATCCATTCCAGCATCATAAAGGACCATGTGAATAAAACTCCAGTTAAGCCTATCAAAGGCTTTTCAAGATCAATCTTTAAAGCCACAAACTAGTCTTCCCTTTTGCCTTGCTCATCACATGCAGAAGTTCTTGCCCAATAATGATATTATCTTGAATATGCCTTCTTTTAATAAAGCTGGCTTGATAAGGGGACACCAAATCATCCATCACAACTTTAAGACGATTAGCAATAATTTTAGTAATGCATTTATAGTGAACTGAACACAGAGAGATCTGTCTAAAATGAGTGATCACTTCAGGATTTTCCCTTTTCGGTATAAGAGAAATCAATGTCTTATTAGAATCATCAAGTCTCAGATTGCCTTGAAAAACCCCTTTAACAAATTTACAGACAAATGGACCCACTGTTTCCCAATTATATTGAAAGAAAATAGGGGAAAACCCATCAAATCCTGGTGCTTTATAAGGACCCATATCAAATATTGCATCTTTAATTTCCTTATCATTCGGCATAAAACCCATAGAATCTAACAATTCCTTTTCTACTCTGGGGAAATTGATAACAGTTTGCACATTTGAATTGCCAATATCATCCACAGAATACAACTTTTTAAAATAACTCACAACCAGAGATTTGAGATCAGCATTGTCATGTATCCAAACACCCTGGTCATTTTTCAGAGAAACAATTCTATTCCACTTCCTTCTTCTATGGGTCTTAAGGTGATAATAACGGGTGTTCCTATCTCGTTTAGTTATCCAATTTGACCGGGCTTTTTGAAACCATTTGACTTCCTCTAATTTCAAAATAAATTCCAATTCAGCTTGGAGTTCTAGCTCGAGTTTAGATAGAAAGCTGGAAAACGGATAAGCTTGGGATTGCTGAATACCTTTAAGTCTATTAAGGATGTTTCTCTTTTTCTTTTCCACAAGGCCAAAAACTTCCCTGTTCTAAACTATAATTGAGTCTCTAAAGCTAGATAAACTTGCGTTAATATCATCATTTTCTATCCAAGACTTTTCAACGAACTCCAGGAAATTTCCATGTTCAATCCACATTGCTTCAAACCTAAAAGGTTTAATACCTCTGAAAGCCATACTAGCAGCATCTAAAAATAGAGACAATGGATTATGGTCAGAGAAAGCAGTCTGAGAGCATACCTTGACCAAATAATTATTGAAAGAATCCATGAATTGAGCATTCCCTAAGGCCCGATCAAGACGTTCAAACATCCTTGCACAGCCCGCCATCTTTCGTCCTTTCCAAGTAAACTTAGGACCCTTAAAATTCAAATCGTTCAAACAGCAATCAATTATCCGATCATTGAACCACTTGATTCTGTTTTGACTTGCAATACGACCACCCACCCTTTCAGAAGCATCAGCGATATCATTAAAATCTCCATAAACAACCCATGGTTCAGAGATATCAGTAGATAAAACTTTCAAATCATTCCAGAGGGCCTGCCGTAAATTTGAGTGGGGGATCACATAAACTGCAGTCAAAAGAAAACTGGGAAATCCTTCAAAATCACAACGAGCATGAATAAAGTGTTTGTTGCTAGACAGCACAGAGATTCGAACACGATCACTCCTCCAAGCCATGACCAAGCCACCAGAACACCCATTGCTAGCGATCGTGTACATATTGTCAAAGCCCAGGGAGAGAAGACATCGCAACTTTGATTCACTATCACATTTTGTTTATGATAGAACAAGGATTGAAGGAGTTGGCCCACCAAAAATAGCCTTTAAGTTTTTATTAAGGCTTTTACCACAAGCCCCTCTAATATTCCAATATATAATTTGATCCATAAGGAAAGGCTTAGCAGAGTTAGAACGAGGCCCAATTAACACTGAGGGGAAAGCTGTGTTTCGGGCACCACAGATTTCTCACTTGGAGTGATATTCTCAAGACCCACTGGAATTGGGCTAACCACACTCGGCCCAGCTTTCTCAACTCATTGCTCCTTATCCATCTCCAAGTCTTCGCCTGGGTCATGGGGGAAAGGAGAATCATTGACATTACAGTCCACAGCTTTTCCTCCCACTTCCTCGGAGGGAAAACTATTATTCTCATCAAGACTATTCCTTTGGATCGAGTTCCCTTCTTCGTTGTCTTCTAGTGTCAACATCCAAATCTCGTTTGATCTCCTATGGTTCACAAACATCTCGCGAGACCGTTTTTCTCTTTTCCCCTGTTCTACTCGTTCAATAGCATGTTCAGCAGCCTTCTCTGGGACCACCTCCGTAGTACCACCATTGTGCCTTGCTCTCCTTCTACTTTGAGTAGACTTTTTCCCACCCACAAAGTGTACAGATGTAGTGGTGGGATGAGCAAATTGTACATTTGATAAATTCCAATTTTAATATACTATTTGATATCTTTTTGGGGATATTTATCAATTAAAATGAGATAATTTGTATTGATTGCGGATATTTTGAATTAAATACTAGTGGCATAAAATTAAAAATTTAATAGGAAATCTTATCATATTTTTATCTTCATTTAAATAATTAATTTTGGGCTTTATGATAGTATCTTAATTTATCTTTTACAGGTCTCAGAAAAGGAAATAAATATAAAAGGAAAGCTGAAGGGAAAAAAAAGAAAAGAATTTAAAAAGAAAAAAAAAGGAATTAAGTGATGGAAGCCACAGATTTGCATTAGGTTATTATATTAACCTAATCATCAATTGCCATAGGAGGAGGCTATATATACAATAACGCCGCATGCACACGAGGACGGCCAAGTGTGACAACCGCTCTTTCAAAACTATTTTAGATTAAATCTAACAATTTATTTGAATGATTAACCATGATAGAAAAGAAGAAACCTTAAAATTTTAAAATCGCTATCATGGTTAAAAAAAAATAAACTTATAATAAGAGTAACATCGATCGTTACCTTGGGCCTTGGACTTCCAAAGTCCAAAAATATCATTCAACCATTAGCCCAAACCAAATTTATATTTTCAACCATACGAACTGATAAATCGGTTTAATATAAACTATAGAGCTCATTAGTCAAAAGTCAACACTTTCAAAGGAGCGTTACATGCAGAGTCTAAGATGTCTCGGCCCTCCTCGCGGCCCTGTCATACCAGACAGTAGTATTTAAAAGTATTATTTTACATCATGATAGTAGATGAGCCCTATGTGGCAATATATAACAAGTCAACACATAGAATAAAGGCAGGGAGGCTATACAGGCTATAACAGCACACTATGCCTCCGGAGCCTTCCCTGATGGGCCACCACCGGAACTATCGCCTGAAAATGTTAAACCACGGGATGAGACAAATGCCTCAGTAACCAACTTTCCAACTCATCATACATACTAACACGTGCTCGTGAGGTGTCAAGTGGGACAGTTATAAATTCTCAAGAACTATAGATATATCCATAGAAATATAATTTCAATCATCCAAACCCTCACTATGGGGGTCAACACACAAGCAACATAAGTCTATCCCTCACTCTGGGGGATCAATCAAACATATGGGCCTATCCCTCACTCTGGGGGACGAATAAGAAGCCACAAAGGCCTATCCCTCACTATGGGGGACGAAAGAAGAAGCCAACCAATGTGCACCAATGGTGGCCTTACCACGTGGTAGGATAGGACTCAATCCAAAATCCAAATAACAACCAACCATTCACAATATAATAAAAAATGTCTCAATCTTTTCTTAGTATAATCCATAAGATATAAATTATATATCTTTTCCAAACTTCTCGATCACAATTCCAAAAATCCCACAAGACAATTTTCATAGCTCAAAAGATATAACATATATACTCGAGTTCCAAATATCAAATATTATTCTAAAAATAGCAAAATACTCACAAACAACATATTAGCACATATAACAAGTGAAAAGTGGTTACCTTTCGCCAAAGTAATACTAAGGATTACCACAAGGTCAATCCTTTGCTCAACCAAAAATTAATCTACACAATTAATATAACCACATATTAATATAAATTAATTAAACTTCTCTAGATTAGTTAAATTTCTACTTTAATTAAATTTTTATTCTAAATTCCCGTAACTCTCATAACCCAAAAATTATTAAGTATTTTAGCAACAACTTAAAATTTCTAACAAGCCAAAATATTTATTTACCACCTCCAAATTATTTATCTTAATAAAAAGGATTTTCAACAATTTCCAAATATAAAATTATTATGTTATAAATTCTAAAAACTCTCTTTTAAGTTTAAACCTCAAAATCAAACTATCAAAAATTCAATAATACTTCAAATATTTATAACTAAATAATATAATCAAAACTTTAATGGTATAACTACCATATATATATATTTTTCCATAAATAATAGACTTTTTAGCTACAATAATTATTTTAAAACCTCCAGTCATCCAATAAATAAAACTAAATCGATTAAAATCTTAATAATATATCAAACAATCTAAATAAATTATTTGACTTAAATTTCATCGGTAAAAATATGGTATATCCCATAAATAACAGATTTTTAACTAAATAAATTAATTTAAATACTAAAACTAACAAATAGAGAAATCTAAACCGATTAAAATTAACAACTTATTTATTTCTAAATTTCTATAGTAATCTTTTATCAAAACTCAATACTTATATCATATATAAGTCTCAAAATTTTCTCTAATAACTATGGTAATACTACTATTATGAAGCATAAAATATTTATGAAATATTTATGAAGAAAGTTTGATGAAAAGAGATAATTTCATATACCTAAAATATCTTCAAAACTTGCCCTCTGCTTCATCGTATGTTTCTCTCGCTCACACACTTCCTCTCTCTCTCTCCCCCTCTCTCTCGCTCCTTCTTGCGCCTGCCGTGGGGGGGGGGAATGGATTGTGGGGGGTATTTAACACGCCCACACAATTATTGGGGGAGGGGAATTTCAACCCCAACCCCCACGTTTTTCCACCGCCCCCTCTCAATTTTCCACCCCCCTCCAACTTTCCACCGAAATATCGGTGGAAAGTTGGACTTTTATTTTATTTTATTTTTTTAAAATATAATAAAATATTATTATATTATATTATATTATATTATTTTTCAATTACTTTTTTTTTGAATTTTTTTTAAAGGATATTACACCAAGACCCTTCAAAAATTCATTCTTCAAGTTCGCACAGACACCATCGCCGCAACACTTCAATTTCAATCTTCCAAAATTCATTTTCATATTCTTCCATCAACCACGTCCCACACATCATTGCCACCAACTTAACCGTCCTCCATGGCTGCTAAATCTTTGGCACGAGTTGTAGCTTGGTTCAAGACTATGAGAGGCTAAGTTCGCTGTGCTCTTCGGGATTGAATTCAATGGCTTGAGTTTGAGAGCTACAAAGGGGAGTTTAATTCTAGTCCTTAGTTTAGACTATTTTGTTGATGATTTCTGGTTTGAAGTTTGTTATATTTGGTTTAAAGCTAAGAATTGCTAGTTGTAATTCTTGGTTTGGATTGGAATTGCTGAGATTTGGATTGGTATTTATAAGTTTGAGTACTTGGTTTATACATATATTTATGTTTGTGCCTTTGTTAATTCATTGTTAGTGTGATTTTTATGCGAGTTGTATAGAAATTATGCATGAAGTGAATTTAACAAGTAATTAATGTTCTAGTTGAGTATTAATTTAAAAGGAATAACTTATATAAACCAGTCTTAACCATTTAAGTTATTCCCATATCATTAAACAAGCTAGGATAGTCATTGATTCATTCCTCAAGAGCATTCTTGTTATTGATTTCTTACAATTCAAATTTGCATTTTTCATTCTTTCTAAAAAATACTCAAAAAAAAAGTAGTTTAGATTTATTTCTTACTCTCTTAATTAGTTTTATTAATTGAAAAATCCTTTTTCAAGCCCTCCTTTCAATTCTTTGTCACTTAGTTAACTAAGGAATTAATAAAAAGCTCCTCAAGAGACTCGACCCGAGTTGTGCTTTACTGCATAATTTGGTTTTATTTTTGATTTAACCCAAGGCGACTAAACAGGTTCAAATCAATGTTCTCCAAGTTCGGCATCACCGGTACTGCATTTCCTTCTATTTCTTTTGTTAAATCAAAATGCTGATTTTCCACATCAGCTAACACGTCAAATCTCGTCCCTGAGATTGGTTGCCGGAAAGTCTCCCCTGTTTTCTCCTTCCTCTTTCTTTGTCGTCTGGTCTTTTGCACCACTCTCCATTTCTCTTGTTCTGTATCTCCGTTAGCATCAATTTCCATCCCTGCTGCATGTAGGCCTTGTCCACCGTCTCTATTGCTAATTTGATCGTCACCATTCTGCTCTCTAGCCGGTTTCTTCAACGGGCATATTTCACAGTGATGTCCATACACTCCGCAGTTTAAACACAAAGAGTGTAGCCCTTCATACTCCAAATAGTAATCCTCCCCATCAAGAGAAAAACCAGACATAAGTTGTTTACTCAAATCAACCAAAACACATATTCGAGCATAGTGACCCCTGAGCTGAGAAGAGGTATTGACATCGACCTTAATAGTCTCTCCTATTCTGTTGCCAATAATGGTTAGCGCCTCCTCATCATAGTACTCCAGAGAGACTCTAGGCAGCCGCACCCAGACAGCTACCTTATCTATGACGGCTCTTGCTGGATTAAATTTCGGTTCCCAAGGCCTCACTGTCAAATAATGATTATAAATCATCCAAGGTCCTCCTGTCAATGCATTGAAGTAGTCTTCCCTGTTGGATAGCTTAACAACAAAATATCCATGGCCAATATTTATCAGACTTATCACTCCTTTTCTTGCCCAGAGCGCTTGGAGTCTTCCTTCTAAAGCTTTGTAACCAATGCTTCGGTCTAAAAGCTTTACAATGACTGTCTTTTTCCAGGCTCTATATAATCTCTTTTTTAATCTACCAGAGAAATGGAATGTCGGAAAGTTCCTTTTTGGATCTTCCCTTATTCGAACCATAGGCTCCTTCTTCTCATTTTCAGCTTCAGACAGAGAGTTATCAGTTATACTATCATCTGATAAATCATCAGCCTTATCCTCCTCATCTCTAGAATGATCATCGTGGTGATTTACACCTTTCAAGGTCTCAGCAAATGTCAAACCAGTTCTTTCCTTAGCAACAGTGCCAGTTCCCAGCTTTGGCCATTGATCCGATCTTGAACTTCCACCTCTTTCCGCCATTCCATTCTTAATTTTTTTTGAGCTTCTTATGAGTAAGTCTTCTTCCTCAGCAGACGGAGGAATGAAAGCAGAGTTTCTACCAGCAGGGACGAGCGCCATTGGGCTTCGTTATGTTAGCTTGTAGAGAGTAGTTGTTCGTTAGGTGGGGGCAGGCCCATTTTTAAGAAGGTGTTGTGGATGATGGGCCGAGCCTATCCTTCAAAAAAGTCACCCTTGCCCTTAATGGGTCAGTGTTGCTGTGTTTATCCAATGTTTCCCAAGTCACACATATCTGCAACGTGATGTTTCATTTCTTCTTGTATTCATTTTGGGTGTGGTTTCCTGTGATATCGATCTCCGTTCAGTTCGAGTTCCGACTTTATACTGCTATTACTAAAATCTAACCAAGTAATTGTGGATTGTTTAGTACATAGAAAGGTAAGTTAGATGAAGAGGTCCCCCCAAAAAAGGGATCCGGTTCGTCTAAAAGTTGTTAAAATAGAGCTTCTTTAATGTGTCGAGAGTTAAATCTAAATCCTCAGCTTCATATCAGAGACGTAATAGAAAAGCTCTGCATTGACTGGTTATTTAATATCAAACCAAACATGCTTAAAATCCTAAAACCGATTGTAGTAGAAATCGATTACCAAGGTATTATACTGGAAAAAAAAAACGCAATTCTCAGCTCTCACACAACTTCATGTAACGTTACAAATTGAGCCTCTCCAAAATAGTGATCGTAAATTAAATGGACATGATTTTCAACTGTTATATGGTTCAACTCACGCAGGAATCTGAATCATAAAGCTCAGTGCATAAAGAAGTTGCCCAGCAAAGAAAATGGTGAATGACAGAAGGACGAACAAGCAGAAGAGATGCAGAGGATGTCGACTCAGATGGAAGATATCTCAATCATTTCACACCCCTCGACCTAAGATCAGTAAATCATCATTTGTTCAGCCATTTCCGGAGCGCATGAACATCAAGACTTGAGATAAACGAAGAAATTTCGAGGATTTTGCCTCCATTACAAGATCATTCCACAAAGTCCCGTGTCCCTCAGCCAAGGGGACTCAATTTGGCTACAAGTCTATCTTGTCTCTTCAATAGCATAAATTATCACAAGCATTTCACAAGACTCATATTTGCCATCTTCTTGCCAACAACAAGAGAAACGTTTCCTCATGCCGACACTCGCAAGCTTTCTTCTTCCTCTGTTTTCCTTCTTCATCCATACTGCCTCTGCTAGCAATTCCACTTCATCCTTCACAGTCTGTCCCGCCTACAGCTTTGCCCATCGGATGCAAATCGGATACCCTTTCTGGCTATCACATGGTTCCATTCCTGACCAGTACTGTGGTTACCAAGAATTCGGCCGCATCTGCGATGATGGCTATCCCATCTACTCTTCACCAGCTGGGTTATATTATCGTTTCACGGACATAGATGGTGATAATCATTACCTTCACCTCGTTGATTTTGATACCTTCTACCAAACATGTCCGAGGGTAGTTCACAAAGTTCCGTTGGGCAACTTACTCCTTCCTCGATTTCGTTTGCATTTGAAACTTAGGTCTTATTGCAATTCCAGTTCTCACCGCTCTTATGCGTTGCCCATAACGGGCTTTTCATCTGTGGTGGGGAACGAGAGTGGGGGCTTTGATTGGTCTAGGAATTCTGAAGAGAGCGTTACGGAGATAAATTTGAAGGGCCATGTTACAAGTGAAGGGTTGATGAATGAGCATAAAGAAGAGGCCATGAATGAAGGTTTTTGTGCTTGATCGGCAAAGAGTTTGTGATGAGTGCGAAGATTCTGATGGGTTGTGTGGCTACAATAATGCTGAAAATGAGTTCATGTGTTTCTGCAAGGATGGCAGCGAACAAAGCAATGGCTGCTCAAGTATGTTAGCAATAAGCTGGATCATATATTCATTGAAAAGGTGTGGTCGCAATCTATTGCAACAGAACATGTGGCTCTTTCGTTCTTGATGGCAGTCTGAAACATACTAACTAGTTGGTGGAATACATACATTGCGAGAAACCTGTACATAAAAGATTGCACTATACATAATATTTGCTAATGGTTTGACTGTATAAATTTATTAATTAGATGTATTGAAAGATATTAATAAAACATGCTTCATTACTCTTTACATTAGCCCTGCATTTGTCAGTAAGTACATGTTGACTCTTTAGGTCTCTAATCCTTTTAATTCACACGATTTCACTCATTCGTGTTTTGTTAATGAAATATATGCTTTTTTTTGTTTGTGACAGGGAGACGCATGTAAACATCGTCAGCCTCTTTGGTTCTTGTCCTGAAGGCAGCAAAAACACAGTCGTATAAGAACTTACGCCCAATGATTCACTTGAAAAGTTCATATGCAGGAGGGATATTTAGACCCAAATGATCCATCCTTAAGTTGGGAAAGATTACTCCAAATTGCAAAAAGGATAGCTAAAGGACTCGAGTATTTGCATAGTGGTTGCAACCCTCAGACACTGCATTTTGACATTAAACCTAACAATATCTTTTTGGATAAAAGCTTTTATCCAAAGATCTCAGATTCTGGACAAGCTAAACTTTGTTCTAGAACACATAGTACCGTCTCAGTGCCTGGTGCAAGAGGCACTGCTGGGTATATTGCTCTAAAAATATGGAATAGGAACTTTGGAGGAGCCTCCCACAAGTCAGAGGTGTTTAGCTATGGAATGTTGATTTTAAAAATGGCTGGAGGAAGGCAAGATATCAATGGAGAAGGGAGTGATTCAAGTGATAAATATTTTCCTCATTTTGTATACAAGCAAATTGCAGTAGACAAGAATATTACAGAACATGATGACATGATGTTGGGATTATGGTGCGTACGGACAATGCCATCAGATAGACCTGTCATGAGTAGAGTGATTGAGGTGTTAAAAGGAAGCTTGGAACAGCTCTCAATTCTACCAAAGCCTTCCATATTTTCTCCTGTAACACCAAGAAATGAAGAGGAAAATTGTGCTCCATGTTATTCTGTTTATGTTTGATTAGTTACTCTGTAGATGGTTGTAATACAGACACCTCAGCTTGCTGATCTCTGTAAATATAGTGATGAATTATGTGGCAGTCCTTTCTCCCAGTTTTGCGTCTCTGTACCATGCTAATGCGAATGTACAGCCACTAAGAATATTCCATGTCATCTGAATAAATAATGAAATAATTTAAAATCAAATTATTTGACTAAGTATCAACAGGTGCTTTTCTTTTTTTTTGGCTGGTGTGGTTTCTTTTCATAATGATGTTCGTCAGTTTGGATTTCAACTTTAAACTGCTATTAGTAAAATCCAGCTCAGTAATTGCGGATTGTTCAGGACATAATTGATGTGAAATTCACTGAAAGGTAGAGTGAAAAAAAACATGACCACCCACAACTTGTATTTAATAAAAATAAAACTTTTCTGAGACAAATAATAATTGAGGTGTGAATGGGTTTCGTTGAATTTTATATTATTTTTTTAAATCGTAAATTTGACTTTTCGGTGGTGGTGTTTCTTTTAGTAAAACAAAATTGATTTTATGAAAACATTTTTGGATGAAAAAAGGTAGCGTAATCTTTTACCGGTGAGATTGCCGCAAAGAATTGGGAAAAAAAGAAAAAGCCCCTTTCGATGATCATTGATATTGGAAGTAGCTTAATCAACAAATTTGAACAACAAAAATAAATTAATAGATGAGCGTACTTTTGTGAGTTGTATTTTAGGTTGTACTTGGGATTTTTTTGAGTGCTTTTTTTTAGTAGGATGGTATCGCTAACTCAGGGTATCCCAGCTTATCAGCCAGACTAATCCCAGAGTGCCTCGCGCAGGTATCAAGCCCATGACGTGATAGGGAAGGCGCCTTGCGTTTCAGTTTGCGACCAATTGGACCCGACCTTTGCAGGCTTTTGAGTGTTTTTTTAGCTGCGGGCATTAGTGTTTGTACTTGATTTTTTTCAATTGATATTTTTTTCAATTGATAAAATAAACTCTGTTTTTGTCAAAAAAAAAATTGTAACACGTTGATGATTTTGCTTGAAAAGCTGCTGCCATTATTATAATGCTATGACTTTGGATAATCATCAGGCCTAGATCAGATTCGGATATTCTAAATCTTAATATTTTCATCATTTAAAAAAGATTTCTTGAAACAATATAAATGAAACATAAATTCTACACGTCCAATCATGCTGGAAACTTGGGATCCAACCTTATAAAAGCGGCATCCTTGTTGCAGAACCACAAGATGAGCCTGTAATATCCGCGTTAAATTTGACTCCTCGTGAAACACATGCCTTGTACACCTATTCAACACGAAACCAGACAGATCTTAAAAGGAAAATTATAATTAGGTCCTAAAAAAATATTTAATTATTCTAAAATCCATTGATATTTGAGGAGTATGACTAGCATAGAAAATAATAACTTGTTTATGTTTCTCATTTGTACATTTTAGTAATTAAATTCTTTCATGGGAACATAATTTTTCCTAATTAAAATCCTAAATCTACTCGTAGAACAAGTCAATTACGAAGTTATACTCCTAAACAAGTCAATTTTGGCACATCGTCATCTTCCCCATCGTACAAGGGCTTGACCCTTGATAATTCTACTTTGGCACAAATTGTTCACATTTCAAATTCCAACTTATTATTGACTTTCCAACGTCTTCCGAGTTATACTATCTCTTATCATCAATATAAGAGTTACTCTTCTAGTTAAATTTATAAGGTAGAGAGAAGATATTTTCTTGTTCTTATTTATAGGGTATTAAGAGAAATTTTTTTTATAGATGCATAATTTTATTCTTCATTTATTATTGTGTTAACTTTCTTTATATGAGGTATAATATATATTAAATTGAAATAAAATTAAAAAGTTGTTCAATTTTAAATAAAAGTTAATGAAATTCAAGGTTTTTTTGGCTCTGTGTGAAACATGTTGGAAGTGACTTATAAATAAGATCAAAGGAGTAGTTTGATATTTAATTTGATCCTAAATATAAGATTCCAATTCACTTTATCTCTCATATTTATCTTTTTTTTTTAAAAATAATTCTTATAATAGTTGCACATGTTAAACTAGTTCTTACTAATACACATGATTAACAATAATATTTTAGGGAAGACAACATATATTTATTATAAATAATTAATTTAACCAATCTTCCTAATATATTCAAATTAGTTAAGTTCTCTTATACCGACGATGAGAAGTAATATATAATCTATTGTGGAAAATATTCGAGTTTTACACTTGCAAATAGGAAAAATGACCGTAAAATACCATGTGAATTTTAAAAAGACAAATAAGGCACTTGAATAAGAAAAATGACAAAGAAGGCATCAGGTACCAATTTGGAATTTTAATTTTTGGCCTAAAGACCGAATTGCCCTTATTATGTTTGAAAACTGAGGAGATAGAGAAAGGTAGAAACCGCCTCCTCCCGGCGAAAGCAATCGCCCTACTCGGCAAAAGAGAAACTGCCCCCACTTGGCGAAACCAATCCACCTACTCGGTGAAACTAATCCCTCCCCTTAGCGAAACCGAATCCCCCTACTCGATGAAACCAATCCCTCCACTCAACGAAACCGAACCCCCCACTCGACGAAACCAAATCCAAGCTTCTCTAGTCACCGAAAAAGGTTCTCCGATTTGCAAGGGGATTTGTATGTAAGGGGATTTGCAAACTATTTTCAAGAAATATAAAGTTGCCTGATTTTCAAGTATTGTTAAATTATTTGCCCAGAATGTTACTACATGTATAACGAGATTTATAACTCACGAAGTGAATTTGACCACTTCTTTAAGGGGTTTGACAACCTGTTTTGAGGGGCAGGGCAACTTTTCTCTACAAAAATATAATTCCATGCTGAAATTTGACAAAACACATAGTAGGATTTACAACTTTCACAGTGAGTGTTACTACATTTTCAATGGGATTTGTAACCTTTAGTGAGGGGCTGGCCAATGTTTCTGTAAAAAATAAAACAATTCCACGCTGAATTTTACAAAACACATAATGGGAATAACAACTTTCACAATGAGATTTACTACTTTTTCAATGGGTTTTGCAACCTTTTGTGAGGGGGTGGGCAACTTTTCTGTAAAAAACAAAACAATTCCACGCTGAATTTTACAAAACACATAGTGAGAATAACAACTTTCACAGTGAGATTTACTACTTTTTCAATGGGTTTTGCAACCTTTTGTGAGGGGCTAGGCAACGTTTCTGTCAAAAACAAAACAATTCCACACTGAATTTTACAAAATACATATTGGGAATAACAACTTTCACAATGATATTTACTACTTCTTCAATGGGCTTAGCAACTTTTTGTGAGGGGCAGGGTAAATTCTCTATAAAAAACGATACAATTTCACGCTGAATTTTACAAAACACATAGTGGTATTTACAACTTTCATAGTGAGAGTTACTACTTTGTGTAATGTAATGCATCATTCACGAAACAATATTTGCCAAAAACCAGCAGCCATATAACAACAGATACATTACATATATTCAAATGACTGCACCTGAAGTACATTAAAGTAAACATTGAATCATTAATTTTCATACTAACTACATGTGTAATGGAATGTACCATTCACGTAACAGTATTTACCAAAAACCAGTAGCCATATGACAGCAGATACATTACATATATTCAAATGACTGCATTATACTCTTGCAACAGTTACCAATTTCACCAACAGCACTTTACTCCTGCAACGGCCGCAATGTGATTTCGGAGAACCTTTTTCGGTGACTGGAGGAACTTGGATTTAGTTTCGCCGAGTGGGAGGATTGGCTTCTCCAAGTAGGGGGATTCGATTTCACTAGCTGAGTGGAGGGATTGGTTTCGCCGAGTGGGGGATTTGGTTTCGCCAAGTGGGGGGATTGCTTTCGCTGGAAGGAGGTGATTTCTCCCTTTCTCCATCTCCTCAGTTTTCAAACATAATAAAGGCAATTCGGTCATTAGGCCAAAAATCAAAATTTCAAATTGGTACCTAATGTCTTATTTGTCATTTTGCTTATTCAGATGCTTTATTTGTCTTTTTGAAATATATATGGTATTTTACTGTCATTTTCCCCTTACAAATATGCCCATAATATTTGAGAATATCTATGACCACTAACAAACTACGCATTCTTGATGAGCCCCGGTTTTCACGTCAATGTTGTTTGGGTTCGCATAAATCCAAATAAGCAAATACATAAAGCATTTAAAAAAAAAAAAATCAGATGCACAATGCTGCTGACAAAGCGAGTGAACGAAAAAGCATATACGTCACTTTGTTGCAATGGTTACTTGCACAAGCACTTCGACTTCCACTCGATTGAAAAATCTGAATTCAGAGTATCTTCCTATCATCTATTACACGGCAGTGTATTTGTGCTCAACCTAAGATCAGTATATCGTCACCTGTTCAGCAATTTCTGTATCGTGTGAACATCAAGACTGGAAATAAACGAAGAAATTTCAAGGCTTTTTCCTCCTTTTCGAGATTATAAAGTCCATTGTCCCTCCACCAAGAAACTCAATTTTCTTTATATCGCACAAAATATCATAACCGTTTCACAAGACTCGAATTCGCCATCTTTTTGCCAAACTCAGAATCATCCTCATGTCATTCCAACAACAAGAGGAACACTTCCTGATGCTGAAACTCATCCGATGCTTTTTTCTTCCTCTGTTTTCCTTCTTCATCCATAATGCCTCTGCTAGTAATTCCACTTCGTCTTCCACAGTCTGTCGCCCCTACAGCTGTGCCGACGGTTTGCAAATCAGATACCCTTTCTGGCTATCACATGGTTCCCCTCCTGACCAGTACTGTGGTTATCAGGAATTTGGGCTCATCTGCTCCGATGGTGGCTACCCCATCTTCTCTCTGCCGCCTGGGTTATATTATCGTGTCGCGGGCATAGACTATGATAATCATATCATTCACCTTATTGACCTTGACACTTACAACCGAACATGTCCAAGGGCACTTCACAACGTTCCCCTGGGAAATTTGCCCCTTTCGCATTCCCCTTTGAATTTGAACCTTGGCTTTCACTACAATTGCAGTTCTTACCCATATAATGCTTCGCCCATAAGATGTTTGACGTCTGGTGCGAAGCA